TCGAGTCAGTGCGACTCGTGATTTCCGTGCGAGCGCCGGCCTCGCGTACGTCGAGACGGTGCCGTGTCTTCTCGGCCGGTCTCTTCCTTTAACGAGAGACACGCGATCAAAAGAAAGAAAGAAAATTTCTATCCAAATATTCGTAAAAAAAAAATAAATAAATAGGAAAGAAAATCAAAACAAATAAACGAACGAACAAAAAAAAAATATATATATATATATATATATATATATAAAAAGAAAAAAGAAAGTAAGAAAAGCAATTATCGAGAACAGCAATTTTTTTCGTACATCGTATCGTGAGATGAATGGACCTAAAGAGGATCAGGTGATTCAGGTTGTAGGGAAAATCTATTGATCTTGATAAGATTACAAAGGATAGCTAGCTCTAAATCGATAAAGCTAAAGAAAACGGTTCAGTGATCCTTTTCACGCAAAGAAAGAAAGAGAGAGAGAGAGAGAGAGAGAGAGAGAGAGAGAGAGAGAAGCGTCTGTGCTTTCAGAGAATTTAGATCTATAGAAAGATCGTGGGTGTATGCTGGAAGCTCCTCTCGATCGATTCTTCGAGCGAAGAGACGCGTGGGTGGTAGGATCATCGTGTTAATTGTTAGTGATCACAAAGGGGCCAGTGATCGCGATGTTAACGTTCATCGTCAATTATTAATAAAAAGGAAAAGATTTTCGTTAGCTCATTTGCGAGTGAGGTTAAGGAAAGGTAGACAAGTAGATTGAGACAAGAGAATTAAAATAAAGAAAAAAAAAAATAAAGATAAAAAATGCCTCGATCCTTGACGGGACTCCGTCGAATTGTGTACATTACGAGTTAACGCCTTGCGCGGTCTCCTCGTCGTTTTGAGACGACTTAAGGACTGTCTTTGGGATGGTTACGTAAACGGGCGCCAAGCCGAAAGGTGATTTCTCGTGAAAGAGGAGAAAGAAGATTACCGAAACGCGAATTGGCCAAAAAAGAAAAAAAATTCCACTCTCGTGGGAGCGCGTCAAAAATACTTTCATAAGAGATTTACGAAAGTGTTTGACGTTCATTGAAAAGGAATTAAAAAAAAAAAAAAAAAAAAAAAAGAGAAAAAAAAGAAAAGAAAGGAAAAGAAAAGAAAAGGAAAAAAAAACAAGTCCCATAGGATTAAAGGGAATACCGTATAAAATTCTAGTTAGCGATGAGAAGACGAGAAATCGGCAAACGAGTACGATCGAACGCGAGACGGTAAATCGTCGTCGTTCGTTGCTCGTCAACGTCGTCAATAGATACGTATACGAGACAATCGCTATTATCAGGTGTTTCAGTCTCGGCTCAGAGTCAAGAGCGATAACCTCGTGAGTGTTGGCGAATCGAAGTAAACATAGGAGAGATCGAGATTGCGATCGATTTATCGATCGATCGATCTATCGATTGGCTCGATTCTTCCTCAATGTCGAGTAAAGATCTATTCTCTTTAGGCGAGAAGTAATATCAAAGAAAATTGACCGAGGCTAAGAGAGAATCTTGAAGAGAAAGAGTTTCGAAGGGAAGTCTGGAAGCTATTGATCGGAAGGAAACGTCGTATATCTTGGCAGTAATGCGCACAAATTATGCGTCTTGCGGCTCCGTCGAGCGACGGCCACTGAGAAGAAGCACGGAGTTACGCGTTTACACTTACGGATAATCCATTGGTTTTTTCTCTCTCTCTCTCTCTCTCTCTCTCTCTCTCTCTCTTCCTCTCCCTCTTCCTTTTCCACTCCCTCTTATTTTCCTTTCTCTTTTTATCCTCCTCATGCTGCTTTTCAAGATCTTCTTATTATTCTTCGTCCTTTAGCTTTATCCTCCATCTTTTTGGTTGCAGCAGCAGACTTTCGCTCGATCCAAGAACCTCTTCTCTTCTCTTTTCTTCTCTTCTCTTCTCTTCTCTTCTCATCTCTTCTCTTCTCTTCTCTTCGTTTCTTTCTCTTCTTCTCCTTCCTTTCTTCTTTCCCTCGGCCGTCCGTCCAATCGAGCAAGACGTCGCTTCGAGCGCCGTTTATTCGCGAAATTCCACCTTCAACCCCAAGACGCCTCCGCGCCGAGTTCCTATGACGCATTCAAGTTCCTCCGCGAAGATATACCATCGACGGCCACGGATACTTCTTGGTCACTTCGTCTATGCTCTTCGATGAAGAATATAGTTTGTTACGAAACAATCGAGTCGAATAAATTTAATTGTGATTATGGTGCCTTCTTCTAAAGTCAAGTCAAGCAAATCATTAGTGTGAACTATATACGAAGGTTGAATTTTCGCAAAAGTGTTCAATATTAATATCTCGCGAGAAACGTCAAAGAAAAGAAAAAGGAAATTGGACGAGAGAAGGACGAGAAGAGGAAGAATCCTTTCGGAATATATTCACGGAGGGCTGAAGTGCACCTGCGACTCACGTCACGGAATTTCCTCTTTCGTCCACCGTGGTAAGTCCTCTTACGCGGTTCCGCGTTTAATTTGCAGAATTTACCTCGTCGCAGTCGACTCGAAGCTCGGCTCTTCTCGCGGCTAATTGCGTATCATCGTTTTGCCCAAAAAGATAAAGAGAAAGAAAAAGAGATGAGAACGGCGAGCCTGTCTCTTGACTTGAGAATGAGATTCTTGAATCGATCCTTAAAAAAAAAAAGAAAAAAAAAATTACCACGAGTCTTTTGAAATTCTCGTCGTTTTATTTTTTTTTTTTCGACGTATCAAAAGGATTGACGGATTCAAAGTTATTGACTTTGCGATCGAAAGATTATAGAATATTGAAAATAAATCAATAACTTATGCGATACGTCGAAATGAGTGATAGATAAAATCATAAAAAGCCGTAACGCGGTTAGAGATCTTTTCATTCTTGACTTCATTAAGGATAATTGATTACTTTATTGGCAAAAGCGAGTACCAATTAGTCGCGATAATCTAACCTATCTTTTTCTCTCTTTTTTTTGTCTCCTTCTTTCTTTCTCCTTTTTGTTTTATTTTTTTTTTTTACTTTTTGTTTTCTCGCAATTACTTGGAATACGTTAGAATACATTACCACTAATGGCTCTATTCGTGGCTCAGAATTGTAACCACCATTCCAGTTTCCGGTTAAATGCACGGAATAGTAGCACGTTCCGATCAAGTATCCGACTCAGTTTGATTAAGAGTAGGCATTATATTATTTATTTTATACCATTGGCAAAAGTGCGTCGGAACATTAAGCGTAAGTCTCTTGTGAAATCATGCCACCGTTTAAAATCGATCGTTGATCATTCCGTAAGATAAGATCGGCTTTTTTCATTTTCGTCATTCCTGCTCTCCTCGGTCTTTACTCTGTACGTAGTGTGATATAGCCGAACTACGAAGGGAATTTTTCATCGAGACAAATCGAACGTTCGCTATTTAATGTTACATATACATACATATATATATATATATATATATATATATATATATATAACATTATAGGTGAGTATGTTCGAAAGCCGATCGCATTTCTTACGAAATCGAATATAGTTGCCGCAAGACTACTTATTTTTATACTTGATACTTGACAAAATTCCAACAATGTGTATAAAAACATATGAGATATATATATGTACACATACATATATTGTATAAAGAAAAAAAGAAAGACGAATTAAACGGGCGTAGTTTGAAAGGGAAGATCAGACATTCTCTTTTTTCTCCCTTTGGATTCACCCTACGAGCAGATCGTGCTCGACCTCTCTACTTGATTTCGATCGAGGTTAAACAAACAGCGACTGGTTCTCACCTTTATCGCGATAATGGCTGTAATTTTGGTAGGTCTCAGGAGCCAAGGATCTTAAACGAAAGACCGAGGGTTGTAAGCGTGTGAGCGTTATGCGCTGACGCGCGCGCGAAACCAAGCGAGTACGTGCCGAGGTCCAGATTGCAGAGGCGTCGCATCCTGATTGCATGGCGTGGTCCTCTCGCGCGACTGCGATTTATTACGAACGAAGAGAGATAGAGAGAGAGAGAGAGAGAGAGAGAGAGAGAGAGAGAGAGAGATAAAGACAAAGAGAGAAACCTGGCACCCCTACTTCTCCTTCTTCTTCCTCCATCTCCTCCTCCTCTTTAGCTTCACAGCATCCACAACCTTAAATAGGCGAGGGGCAACCCTCTCTCGACTTTCTTGATCAACGATGTTCGATAGAACGAGCCGAAGGGATAATGAACTGCATCTTTAAACGGTTCACTTTTTATTTTTCATCGTCCAAAACGATCGGTAAGCTTGTTGTGATACTTGAGAGTATGTTTGGAGTGGTAATCCTTTAGGTGGCAATCTTTACGTTGGATTTATTAGGATGTGGTATCTCTTTTTCTCTCTTTCTATCTTTCTACACTCTGCTTGTACTCCATCAACACCGTGTTTGATCTCTTTAAATAAGTGGATAGACTTTGGGCACGTTGGGGAGATCGTAAAGACAAGATAATTTCGACGGCAAGTTTATTATATCAATTAATTTCTAATTGCTGATTTTACTTATGTATTTGTATCGATGATTTTACTCGTCCTTTCATTATTTCATCCTGTTCGTAGTGAAACAGTGAATGAGTGAGAGTAAGAGAAAAAGAGAGAGAGAGAGAGAGAGAGAGAGAGAGGGAGGGAGGAACGAAGAGAAGATCGCTGATCTTTCAGCTAGACAAACGAATATGTACTGCGGTTTATTGAAGTGCACATCCGACATGCACGTGTCCGGACGTTTCTCGAGCTCCGCATCTCGGGTAGTGCCGAAGCGTAGAATCGTGATGACGGATTTGTTTCTTCGCTCGCGAGCGTGCCTCCATGTAACACGCTTCATTTGCTGTATATATCCATTAACCGACTGGCAAAAATTTTCTTATCCTTTTATCGTACTCATCTATAAGAGCGATCCGATCATTGCAATTAATTATACGTATATAGATACATCTCAGAGATTTCCGGTGCACATCAACGTAAACTATTAGGTATACATAATATTATCTGGTATATTACGTAACTATGTTTCGAATCGGTTTGTCTCTCTTTGATGTTCTTTGAGAAACATGAAATAACTGTTAAATAAACAGTAGATCCTTATCGACGAACTCCAAAAGAAACCAGTCTTCTTTTCGTTCCGGAACTTGAAATGTTTTTTACCAGAAATACGTCGTTCTTCCCACGAACTCACCGTTTTTTCCTTTCTCTCTCTTTCTCTCTCTCTCTCTCTCTCTCTTTCTTTCTTTCTTTCTTTCTCTCTGTGTATGATTAGATCATTAAACTTTGATAAGTTTCGAGCGGAAGTATATTTGTGAGAGGATTTCCTCTCTTTCTCTCTCTCTCTCTCTCTCTCTCTCTCTCTCTTAACTTAAATTTATTTTAACTTCTTACGTAAAACGACTTTAGATACTCTCAGATACAAAAAAGAAAAAAAAACGCATAACAAACGAACCATAGTATAGAATTATTATACATAATTCATATTCTCAATCAATGAAACGTTTATCGTCGAATTTACTCGTTTACATTGCATTAAATATTCTTCTTTTGCAAATAGAGATTATATTGGCTCGTATCATTGTTTCTTCACGTATAGACGCGTACTAGTTATATGTAGAATATAAAAAAAAAAAAAAAAAGATGAAAGAAAAAGAAAAAGAAAAAAAAAGAAAAGAAAAGAAACGAAATGAAAAGAAATTCATTATGCAAGACGCACGACGCTCTTTATTTGCAAAAGAAACTGACGGACGTCGAAATTATTTGTCAAACCATTTCGATATCGTGTCTTTGATTATGAAAATCATTCCTATGGAAGTACACTCGTATGGAAACTTTAAGCTTCGAAGATTCTCGCGAGGGTGTAGGACACTACGAGAAGAACTCGTAAAAGCTGTCCATCTAATTTCGACTACGGTCTGAAAAGCGTGGCGGGGAGCTTGTTTAGTCACGTTTGCGTGGCTGAAAAGATATATCGGACTTGTATTCGAGTTCGCGATCGAGCGAGCGTGTCTGAACGGGGGCGTGAGTGAGTAAGAGAGAGAGAGAGAGAGAGAGAGAGAGAGAGAGAGAGAGAGAGAGAGAGAGAGAGAGAGAGAGAGAGAGAGAGAGAGAGAGAGAGACGAGACGAAGGGGTGGGGGTAGCTGTGAATGAAGCTAACCACGCACTCTCTCTCCTCTCAATGGAGGTGTCCCCTTCTCCTCGTTCCCGAAGAAGCCACGCTTCGAGTATATTTCCGTTCCGTGTTTATACGCGAATGCGCTTGAAGATCCCGCGGCATTTGAAACGTAGCAGATCTACGCTAAGTTAATATCTCTCCTCCGATCTCAGACCGGAAGCCGGAAAGAAGAGGAGGAAGGAAGTCGAGTCGAGGAAAACGAAAAAGACTAACAACGAAAAGCTTGCCCTCTGCCTGCCCACTGGCTGTCGTCGCCAGATAGGCGGTAACAACTATTTCCAGACACTTGAGATTCTCCTTGCCATTTTATGGCGTTCTAATGACTTTATACGTGGAAAAAAAAGCTATACTACGACTATGATTTTCGAATATATAATTGAACACGCACGTAAATGAGAAAAAGTTCTTTTAATTTTTATCTTAATCTTTGGCGTAATAAAAGTTAATATTCGTGCATCCGTTAGAAAAATTGTATATAAATGATATATAAACGTTTGTTCCATCGAGTTCAGAGACTCTTTCTTGACGCTTAAATTTCAAGCATTCCCTCTTTCTTACAAGAGCAGACTAAAGAGGAAAAGTGAAAGACGGGGAGAAAGAGAGAGAGAGAGAGAGAGAGAGAGAGAAGCGTACTTCTTGTGTCTTTCGCGAAGGTGTACTTTAATTTAGTGCTGTGTTTACGTAAATCCCCTTTCAACGTTCTTCCTCTCGAGTTTCTCGTGACACTCCGTGAGATAACCAAGTATAGAGAAAGGCGTCTTCAAAGTGCATCGACTAAGCGCCTCCTTACCCTCTCCCCTTCACCCCTTCGCGAACGTTTATTTTCTCGAGAATTATCTCGGCACTTCAAAGCTTCTAAGCAGCAAACAAGACGACGTAGGTCGAACGATAAAAAGAAGACGATCGATAGTGAAAAAAAAAGTTCGATTAAAAAAAAACGAAGTGGATAAAATGAAAAAAGAAAAAAAGAAATATATATATATATATATATCTCAACTGCAATTTGTCTTCGGAACATTTTAAAGATAGTCGATGCTAATGCATACACCTATCTTTTTTTCTCCGTTCGATATCTCGAAGAAAAGCAGATGTCATTATTTTAGTTAAAAAGTTCCTAGATGCCAAGGCGACAGTAACTAGAAAGAAGACGAAGAAGAAGAAGAAGAAGAAATGTTATTATCCTTATCTTAAGGAACGTTCGATAAAGAATTTTCTGGTCGATAAATGTTTTCTGGTATTTTTCTGTTTCGCCTTCGGTAAAAAAAAAAAAAAAAAAAGAAAAAAAGAAAAGAAAAGA